TCCGTCTCAAAAAAAAAAAAAAAAAAAAAAAAAAAAGATAGAATCTTGCTATGTTGCCCAGGCTGGTCTCAAACTCCTGGGCTCCTCAAGTGATACTTCTGTCTCAGCCTTCTGACTAGTTGAGCTTATAGGAACAATCCCCCGTGCTCTTTTTATGTTTTCAATATTCTATAGCTTTCTATTGTTGATTTAAAATGCATTTTACTTTTTTTTTAAAGTGCATCCTGCTGTTGACAAGTGTTTAAACAGGTATGATTTCACAGATTTTTAAAAATGATATGTTAACTAAGTGGATAGAGAGAATAGAAACTAGTATCTGTTTAGTGTTCTAGTCTGTGCTAGACACCATATTACCTGCTTCACATTTATCATCTCATGTCATCTTCACACAGCTTTACAAATTATTTGTGCTATTATTGTTTTGTTAATGATTAGGCACCTCTGGTTGAAAGAGGTTGAAATGTTGGCTCATGCTTCCATAGTTAACAGGTTGCCAATCAGTGATCTGATAAGCATCCTGACTGGCTTTTCAAATCACTTTGCACATAAGCATAGATGGATAGGGACGTATGCAGCAATGGGATCAAGGTACTGGTTTAAATCACATCAGTTCAGAAAGTCACATTTTGTTATATATTAACTCTCTTTAGAGTGTTCCTTAGAAGCCTGGCTACTCCAAAAGTTTGTCCTAATATGTTTGGAATTTATAGTCGTAACCAGTACCTGTTTTTTTGTTTTTGTTGTTCGACCATCAAAGTTTTGAAGGTAGATATGAGTTATCTGTGGCCAAAGGACCCTAGGTTTTTCATAAGCAAGACCAGGTCAGTCTAAGAGAGAAATCATTTTACTGTGCATGAAAATACCTACATATAGTCTATGTTATATTAGCTATATTTAGCATATACTGAAAGCCTATTTCGAATTCATTTCTCCACTTACTGACTACCCAGTTTGGTTTTCTCTTTGAGTACCCTGCCTAGTTCGATGAAGCTTTTTCTTGTTTTCTGGATTTATTTTTTTCTTTTTATGATATTTAAATAATATTTTCTTGATTCCTTTTTACTTTCTCTTCTGCATTGCTTAGGGTTGATTACTTTCTATTATTGTTTTCATGTGTGGTAGCTAAATATTCCCCATTTTCCTATAGACAAAATCAGAAGGGCACAGAATTTCAGAATTTTAAGAGATCCTGGAGACTAGACAAAATATCCTCTAGTACTTGAATCTGTGTTTACCATCCTGATTAAGTGGTCGTTCAGGTGGAGAATCTGAAACTCAAAGAGATGAAATTATTCAGTTGGATATAGTAAATGGCAGAAATGAGATTTGCACTCAGGTTTCTTAATTCAAAACCCAATCTTCTTATACATCATTTTGTCATCGAGTGTTTTTATAACAGAAAGAGGGAGTGGCTCTAGTGAACGCAGTGGAAGAGGATGAGAATGGAATGAGCTGTTGAATTCAATGAAAGTGGATAAGAATGGAATTTGCAGGGCACAAGGAAATTTGAAGAGAAACAAACACTTAAGAAGTTGGAAACACAGGGTGTTGGGAGTTATCAAGAAAGGCATATTAAAATAGGGTATTCAAGGAGTTCTGAAAAGGCTGATGCCTTTTTGTTTGTTTAACTGGAGGAACTGCCAAACTTTAAAGTTTTTATTGAAAAATGTTAAAAGAATTTGAGCCACTGGAAAGAGTCTCTGGAGTGTATAGGAATGTGGTATCATCTTCTTCCGCCCAAGCTTACAGAGGGGTTAGAACACCTCGTGAATTAGGAAGCTGGAGATTGCTTAAGTACATAGATCTGTGACCCAGGGTGGATGTAATTTTTTTTCTGCCTTTTTTCTCAATTCTCTCATGTACCTGTAGGTTAGGGCAAAGGTAGGAGTGGTTGGTAAATCGGTAATGAAGCTTCAGTTGCATAGTTGGTAACATCCCTATGCTTGGAGTGGTTGACTGAGACTTACTTACTTTGCAGCAGCAGAGGAATAGTGAACTCCTAATCTCAGTTACTTTAGCTTGTCTTTTTAGGAATCTGGGCTTTCCTAGGCTTAAGGTGCAGATTGGATACTGCCATGGATCCCTGCAGAAGAGGGCTCCAGAAGTGGGAGCCTATGGGAAGGAAGATAACTAGATAGTAATAAATGAAATGGAGCTATAACTATTCAGTAGGGAGACTTTTCCCGTAGTCTCTCTTGGTTGTCGAGTGTCTATGAAGGTTTTTAATCTTGCTGGGTTTTGTGGACCTGAATAAGGCAGGATCTATATAATAACAGTAATTGGATTTTATAATTTTTAATGTTTTAATCTTCTGTGAAGAATAATCCCAATAACAACGTAAACCTTTGTATTTTGATTTTTGTACACTCAGCTTTCAAACATGTCTAGTGTTTCAGGGGGCTCCGTGTAGTGTTCCAGGGTAAATAGAATCAATGGGCACTGTTTACATGCTGAAGATCCACGACTCCCATTTTCCAGTGACACAGATTAGTGTTTGAATCGAAATAGATAATGGAGAAGAGACAGTGCATTTTCTACCTTTTTTTACGTTATCAGGTTTATTCCAGTTCAGTAGCAACAGTTCTGTCAGATATCATTTGGATTTTCAGTTGAGTTTTTAGAGTAGATAATTTGTAAGGACAAAGTGTTGTCTGGCTGTGCCATTGTATTGTCTGTCAGTATTTGTTACGGGTTTAAGGGTGAGTGTTCGTTGGATATTTCATAGTTTGGGAGAGGTGGAGGCAGAAATAGGGAACTAAAATGTTTTTTAAAACAGAGGCCATGTCTAAATTACATCGAGAAAGATTATTTAATGTACAGGTAACTGACCTTCCTCAGACTTTGTTTTACCATTTTTTGGGAGGGGACATGGATGTATAGACTGACAGTTTTTGTTTTGTTTTAAGAAATGAACCTGCTCATTTTTGTTGTATCTTTTTCCTCTGTAGGCGTCTCTTCAAACCGGTTGTTTTTGTTAAGCCTGTGCCAGAGCGTGATTCTGATTCTGATTCTGATTTTGCGGTAAGGTACTCACTTGTGATATTAAATTCTCACTCTGAATCTCATTTTGTATATTATTATTTTCTAAAATTTAGCAGTTGTCCACCTAACATTGTTTTATGGTTGTATTCAAAATTTTATTAGTAACCATTTGAAAGAAATAAGAGGGGTTAATTTTTATTTTGTTTAGTTGGCAAATAAGAAATAGTTGATAAATACTTTGAGAGTTGGGATCTGAAAAATATGGGCTAGAAAATATATACTGACAGAAAAATTATGTTAGAGAATGCTTTCTTGTAATAGAGGAAATAGGAATTATGGTTTAGGCTTATTTGAGTCAGTGTCTTTATTTTGAGTTATAAATAATATGAGTAATAATACTTCTGTTTAAATGTATGTTTAATAGATTAGATGACTTATTATAGGAATCATGGAATCACCCTATTACACATAGCGTATAGTTTCTTTTAATTTATTGTACACTTACTTTGATATCATACTGTTTTTGCAGTGTGCTATTTCTTTATTTTTACCTTTGGTTCTATAATTAGACTAAAAGAATACCACAAATTGTCGAAATTTAACTAGACATGGTAACATGTGCCTCTAGTCCCAGCCATTCAAGAGATGAAGCTAGGAGAATTGCTTGAGCCCATGCAAGACCTTATCTCTAATTAACAAAAAAATTGTGTGAGATTAGAAATTTAAGTTCTCTTCTGAAATCTGTATTACAAAGGGTTTACATTGTGTTTTCTAATTCTTTTTATAATTAAGAATATACTTTAAACTCTTCAAAAAATTGAAGAATATACATTTTGTTAAAAAAATAACCTGTTTGATAAGCAGAGACTCTTCATATTCTTATGGTAAGATTTTAATTTCACAAGGTTTTCGCATTATAATTTAAAAAATATCCACTCAGGGTCATTGTATCTCATTCTAAACTTCAAATTTCAGAGGCTTTTGTTCTTTGTTCTTGAAAAAGTAATTTTAAAGCTTGTACATTACTATGAGCCACTTGAAATAGAGAACATATTTATATATGTCCTGGAATACCTAGAATAAGATCTTGCATGTAAGAAACTTTGTAATCGTTTTAATGGGAATAAACAAATGGGCAAATGGGCTTTTATATAACACAATGTTATAGTTAACAAATATGCATAATATAGCTAATAATTAAATCTGTTAAATTTCTGGAATGTTTTCAGTTTATCTTCCTTCTAAGGTCGACAGTGTGTAAATTTACGTGACTTATGTTTAGAAAATACATCATATGGAAGAAAATAAATATGACAAAAGATGGATAGGAATTGGAAAGGATGTTTTCTAATATCTTCCAACTGGAAGCTTGGATTAGGATTTTAGATTAAATTTTCTTAAACTTTTAAGGCCCCAATCATATTCTATTAAATATATATATTTTCAAGGCATACATTACTCTTTGAAATTGTGAATAAAAATTTTTTCTCCAGGTGGAAAGTGGATGGAACTTTATTTTTTTCTTTCTCTCTCTCTGTAGTAAGAATGTTTCAGCTTTCAGATGGATGATCATGTTTAACTCCTGGATGACTTATTTTATAGTAAATAAATTAAACTCTTTGTTATATAAGTATTGACACAAAACAAATTGTAGAGTAAATGCTAACGAGTATTATTTGGCTTATATTACGAACTCAAGCTTTTCTTTTAAGTTCACGTTTGATCGACTGGTCATGTCTCTCTTTTTGTTTGTTTCTCTGTCCTTCTTCTTTGTTTACAAATGATTTGCCTCAGTCTTAACTTTTTCCTTGCAGAACATGTCCTTAGTGTCTGTTTTTTCATTTCACCTCTGTTTCTGTTATCAGCATACTTATTACAGCTTTCTCTTTAGCAGCTCTGTGTGGCTTGCATTCATCAATCATTGCTCTATAAGGTGGTTGGTTGTCTTGTTCTCTCTTCTTTGGAAGGAGCTGAAGTCATACAATAATTTTTTCTTAGCTTTTAACACAGAGAATGTAAGCAACTTGTACTGTTTCCAATGCCAACCCATTTAAATATAGTACTACTAAAAACCACAGGCTCACGTTTTTTTCCCACAAAATGTAATTCACACAGATAGATATAATGCATAGATATTTTGAAAAATAATGTGGTTAATTTACTTTTATATTATTATTCTTATTCAGTGATACCCTGAATTACATATGAGTAAATTTTTGTCCTAGGTTGTTGTGGATAGGAAAAGAAACGAATGAGTATCATAGTATTTATGTAATAATCAACTAGGGTTGAAAGGAGTGACATTTTGAGACTATCTGTACCACCAATCATAATCATCACGGCATTAGAATATGTGGATAAGTAAATGGCAGACTCGAGATTTGGATCTACATATGAGTGACTTCAAAACCTGTACATTTTGTGTTAGATCACGTCGTAATGGTGGCTGTTGTAATTATTTTAACTTGCTGCATGTTATTCTTAAACCGATTGTGTTTTTCTTCTAGATTACTGAAAAACCAAGTGAAATAAGGAGGATTCGTTGTGAAGATTCTTTACAAAATTGTAAGCTGTTTGAGCCTTTCTGTTATCTTATTTACTGATTCTTCTTTTTTCTTTTCCCTTTTTTTTTTTTTTTTTTAAATTTTAAGACACAGTCTCACACTTTCTGCTGCCCAGGCTGGATTGCAATGGCACAGTCTTGGCTCATTGCAACTTCCATCTCTTGGAATCAAGTGATTCTCCTGCGTCCACCTCCCTACCACACCTAGCTAATTTTTGTATTTTTACTAGAGATGGGGTTTCACCATGTTGGCCAGGCTGGTCTCGATCTCCTGACCTCAAGTGATTCTGCGTCCCAAAGTGCTGGGATTACAAGCTTTAGCCACCATGTCCAGCCTGCATGTTTATTTTTATAAAGATAGAATCTTGCTATGTTGCCCAGGCTGGTCTTAAACTACTGGGCTTCTTAAGTGATACTACTGTCTCAGCTTTCTGAGTAGCTGAGATTATAGGAACAAGCCACTGTGCCCTTTTATGTTTTTAATATTCTATCCTGTCTTTGTCTATACTAGTCTTTGTTACCCTTGGGCATCAGAGATATATGTTTTGTTGATATTAGTTATTCAAATGAGATAAACATGAATATACATACATTCACTTTGTTTTTCAAGGAGCTAACTTTTAGATCAAATAGCAATTTAATAAGAATTCTTTAACGAAAAACGTGATACTTCAAACCAGACCATATTGGAAAAAAAATAATTTGAAATAATTAATTGACTCCCAAACAGTTTATTTTCAGTGAATATTGGAGTGCGTTTGTAATGTAAAAGCTTATTCATATCTAATCTTTGTAGCAACATTATTTTGTATAAGTATGTCAAATTCGATCATTTATTATATTTTTGATGAGGTTTGTATATTATATCTTCTGGCCATGAGCGAGTGAAGAAAATTTCTGAAGGTTAAACTAGAGGATACAAGAAATGTAGGCACATTATTATACCATGTGGGTATGAGAAATAAAGAATATTATATACTAGGATTCACCAAACCTATATCCAAGCTGATCATTCTGGGACACTTCCACTGAGGAGTTGTCATAGTCATTGTGTACCTGCTCAATTATCAGGCAAGTAGAAGGGCATGATGAATATTTGTAGTATAATGGTATAAATCCCTCTGATGTCTTGCATGAAAGACATGACATGCAGGAGCATTTACCACCTGCCTTGACATTGATAACCAGGCGTATGAGTTGCTCCGCTGATTTTAGATCACATTTTTTCCTCATCACTTGGCATATCCACATGCATAATGACACTATTTTATTGTGGTAATAGACATATAAAGAATAATATCACGTTTGAAATTGTAAGTGTATGTTTCATGACACCTGTAATTCTGTTCTCTTCAGTGTATTTCTGTCATGTTCCTGTTCCAAGACACAAAGTATGAAACATCAAAGCCTATGCTAATACAGGCAGGGGGATAAAGCTTGATGCTAACACTGCATGAATGTATGGTTCACTTTATCCTATTTACATATGATTGATTATGTATCCCTTTTTCTTTTCAGTGTCTTTTCTGAAACAACCAACCTTGAGGGTAAATACACTCTCATTTATATTTTTAATTATTAACTCTATAGTCTATGAAATATACTTAATGTATTGATTATTTTGTTTGAAATCCCATTCAGGCTACAAGAGACAAGAAAACATCTGTTTTAGTGAAAGTCAGAGAAATAAATGATGGAAAGAAATCTTGGACAGGTAATTTTGCAATACACATATAATGTCATGTTCACTCAAGGTTGAAGAGAACTTCTGTTTTCTGAATAAATCAGCAGAAGGCTTAGTGAAGCTGCACATTCTGATTGAGCAGGCCTGGGATTCTGCATTAGTAATAATTTCTTGGTTGACGCTGATACTGTTGCTCCTTGGCCTTGATCTGAGTAGTAAGATAGACTTCCCTACGTTGAAATTGGGAAGAAGAACCGTTAAGGAGCAGTTGAAGACATACCAGACTCAGGGCACAGCATAATTTTGCTTTAATTCTACAGCATGTTTTCATCAAGAGGGAAAAGAGAAAGATATGAAGTGATAGAAAGTATAGACATCAGAGTATATCACAAAAAGCAGCGGGAAGAAGTGATCGTAATAACCCATAAACACTGTAGAACAACAACTAAGGACACCACTGGTGGAGGAATTACTTTCCTTAAGGAAGAGAGATTGTGAGGCAGGAAGGAGGGAAAAGAAGAAGTTATTCATGTAATTTTGGGGATTCTGCTGAGGAAACTTGAGTGAACTCCCGTCAGAGGCATTTAGAATATTTGTATAAAAGGAGATTTGACTGTCGCTGCTCCAGGAAGTACAGGAAGCAGAATGACTGCTGAAATTCAGATAAACCACACTTGACTCTACTCCTCTTTGCTACTGTTAGGCAACAGAGATACATGGTTTTTTTTAGTTATAAAAATGAGATAAACTTGAATATGAATACATGGTCTTTGTTGTTTAAGGAGCTAACTCTTGGAAAAAATAGCTATTTAATGAAAATTCTTCAGAAAATAATATGAGACTTCAAACAAGACTTTTAGAAATAAAAGTATTGTTGAATTCATTAATTTCCTCTAAAATGGGGTTTTTCAATGAATATTGGAATGATTTTCAAATGTAAAAGCGCATTAATATCTAACGCTTGTCTCACTTTTATTCTGTAGAATTATGTCAAAATTGAAAATTGATGATATTTTTATTGAGGTTTTTATATAATACCTTGTTGTCATGAGTGGATCATGAAACTTTCGGAAAGCTAAACAACAGGATATGAGAAACGCAGGCTAATGATTAACACCACATGGATGTGAGAAATAGTGAATATTATTTACTGGGATTCACCAAACATATCCTAGCTGATCAATTAGGGACACTTCCATTGAAGAGACGTGAAGTGTACATTCAACTGAAGTGTCATTGTAATTGTATACCTTTCCAGTTATTGGGCAAGTGAAAGAGCATGATGAATGTTTGTAGTATAATGATATAAATCCTTCCAATATCTTGCATGAAAGATATGCGGGAGTATGTACCGCCTGCTTTGACATTGATTCACAGGTGTATGAGTTGCTCCTCTGATTTTAGATCACATTGGTCCTCATCGCTCATCATATCCACATTGCTATTGATACTCACTTATTTTATAAATATATATACGACAAATTACATGGTGTTTGAAATTGTAAGTGTATATATTGTGAAACTTGTATTCTTGTTTTCTTCAGGGTGTTTCTGTCATCTTCCTGTCCCGAGACGCACAGTATAAAATATCGAAGCCTGCACTAATAGAGGCAGGAAAATACAGGTTGATGCTAACACTGCATCAATGTATGGATATCTTTATCATATTTACATATGATTTATTATGTATCCCTTTTTCTTTTCAGTGTCTTCTCAGAAACAACTGGACTTGAAGGTAATTACACTCTCATTTCTATTTTGAACTATTATCTGTGTAGTCTATGAAATATACTTTATGTGTTGATTATTTTGCTTCAAATCCCATTCAGGCTACAAGTGACAAGAAAGATTCTGTTTCGAATATAGCCACGGAAATAAAGGATGGACCAAAACCTGGGACAGGTAATTTTGCAATACACATTTAATGTCAGGTTCATGCAAGATAGAAGGGAACTTCCCTTCCTAAATAAATCAGGAGGGGGCTAATTGAAACTGTACACTCTGTTTCAGGAAGCCTGTTTCTGCATTGTAGTAAGTTATTTGGTGCCATTGATGCTGCTGGTCCTTGTCCGTGATCTGAGTAGTACAATTATAAACTTTTCTACGTTGATATTAAATAGAAGAACCTCTGAAGAGCAAGTCAAGACATAGCAAGCTCAAGGGACAGCATAATTTTGCTTTAATTCTACAGCAGGTTTTCTTCAGGAAGGAAAGGAAAAAGAGATGTAGTAATAGAGGTGATAGACATTAGGTTGTATTGCTGGAACCAGAGGGAAGAAGTGATCGTAGTAACCCATAAACACTGTAGAACAACAACTAAGGACACCACTGGTGGAGGAATTACTTTCCTTAAGGAAAAGAGATTGTGAGGCAAGAAGGAGGGAAAAGAAGAAGTTATTCATGTAATTTTGGGGATTCTGCTGAGGAAACCTGGGTGAACTCTCTTCAGATGCATACAGAATATTGTGTAAAAGAATATTTGATTGTGGCTCCTCCGGGAACTACTGGAAGCAGAAAGAGTGCTGGAATTGAGATAAACCATACTGACTCATTGCTCCTCTTTGTTACTGTTGGGCAACAGAGATAAATTTTTCTATTTTAGGTACAAAATGAGATAAACTTGAATATGTATATATTGCCTTTGTTGTTCAAGGAGGTAACTCTTGGAAAAAATAGCTATTTAATAAAAATTCTTCAGAAAATAATATGGTAGTTCAAAGAAGACTTTTATAGGTAAAAGTATTGTTGAATTCATTAATTTAGTCTAAAATGGATTTTTTCAATGCATATTGGAGTGATTTTTGAATGTAAATGCATATTAATATGTAATGCGGCAGTTTTATTTTGTTGGAATATGTCAAAACTGATAATTGATGATACTTTTTATTGAGGTTTTAATATAATACCTTGTTGTCATGAGTGGGTCATGAAACTTTCGGAAAGCTAAACAACAGGGTATGAGAAACGCAGGCTAATTATTACACCACATGGACGTGAGAAATAATGAAAATTATTTACTGCGATTCACCAAACATATATCGAAGCTGATCAGTTAGGGACACTTGCACTGAAGAGACGTAAAGTGTACATTCAAATGAAGTGTCATTGTAATTGCGTACCTTCTCAGTTATTGGGCAAATGAAAGAGCATGATGAATGTTTGTAGTACAATGGTATAAATCCTTCTGATGTCTTGCATGAAAGATGTGCGGGAGTATGTACCACATGCTTTGACATTGATTCCCAGGTGTCTGAGTTGCTCCTCTGATTTTAGATCACCATTGGTCCTCATCACTAAGGATATCCACATTGCTATTGATACTCTCTTATTTTAGAAATAGAAATATGGCAAATTATATTATGTTGGAATTTGTGAAGCCTATATTCCTGTTTTCTTCAGTTTGTTTCTGTCATGTTACTGTCCGAAGACACAAAGTATAAAACATCAAAGTCTACACTAATAGAGGCAGGAAAATACAGGTTGATGATAACACTGCATGAATGTATGGATAATTTATCATATTTACATATGATATATTATGTATCCCTTTTTCTTTTCAGTGTCTTCTCAGAAACAACTGGCCTTGAAGGTAATTACACTCTCATTTGTATTTTGAAGTATTAACTGTATAGTCTGTGAAAATACTTTATGTGCTGATTATTGTGCTTCAAATCCCATTCAGGCTACAAGTGACAAGAAAGATTCTGTTTCGAATATAGCCACAGAAATAAAGGATGGACCAAAATCTGGGATAGGTAATTTTGCAATACACATTTAATGTCATGTTCACTCACGATAGAAGGGAACTTCCATTCCCAAATAAATTAGAAGGGGGCTCATTGAAACTGCATACTCTGATTCAGGAAGCCTGAGATTCTGCATTTTTAATAAGTTATCTGGTGCCACTTGTGCTGCTGGTGCTTGTCCGTGATCTTAGTAGTACGATTATAAACTTCTTTATGTCAAAATAAAATAGAAGGACCTCTGAAGAGCAATTCAAGACATAGCAAGCTCAGGGGACAGCATAATTTTGCTTTAATTCTACAGCAGGTTTTCTTCAGGAAGGAAAGGAAAAAGAGATGTAGTAATAGAGGTGATAGACATTAGGTTGTATTGCTGGAACCAGAGGGAAGAAGTGATTGTAATAACCCATAAACATTGTAGAATGAGAGAACTAATGAGACCACTGATGTAATAATTATTTTCTCCAAGGAAGAGGGATTGTGAGGCAGCAAGGAGGGAAAAGAAAAGGTTATGTATGTAATTTAGGGGTTTCTGCTGAGGAAACGTGAGTGAACTCACTTTGGATTTATATAGAATATTTGTGTAAAAGAAGATTTGATTTTGGCTGCTCCAGAAACTACTGGAAACAAGAAAGAGTGCTAGAATTGGGATAAACCAGGGTGACTCATTACTCCTCTTTGTTGCTATTAGGCATCAGAGATAGATGTTTTGTTGATTTTAATTATTAAAAACAAGATAAACTTGAATATGAATACATTGGCTCCGTTGGTCAAGGAGCTAACTCTTGGATAAAATAGCTACTTAATGAAATTTCTTTAGAGGATAACATGATACCTCAAAGAAGAGCATTTTAGAAACAAAAATTATGTTGAACTCATTCAGTGACTCCAAAATGGTTATTTTCAATGAATATTGGATTGATATCTGAATATAAAAGCTTATTATTATCTAATACTTGTAGCGTTTTATTTAGTAGAAGTATGTCAAAACTGATAAAGGATGATACTGTTTATTGAGGCTTATGTGTCTTACCGTGTTGTATGAGTGTGTGAAGAAACTTTCAGAAAGCTCAAGTAGAGGATTCTCTAAATGTAGGAAAGTCATTATACCACATGGGTGTCAGAAATAATGAATATTATCTACAGGTATTCACCAAACTTATATCCAAGCTGATCTATTTAGGACCCTTCCCTGTAGAGACATGAAGTATACATTCAACTGAACTGTCATTATAATTGGGTACCTTCTCAGTTGTCCGGCAAGTTAAACAGCATGATGAATATTTGTAGTACAATGGTATAAATTCTTTTCATGTGTTGCATGAAAGACATGTGGGAGTAGTACTACTTGCTTTGACATTGATTCCCAGGTGTATGAGTTGCTTCTCTGATTTTAGATCATATTGGTCCTCATCACTTGGCATATCCACATTGCTGTTGACACTGAGTATTTTAGAAATAGACACATGACAGGTTTGAGCCACCACACCTGACTACTTTTTGTATTTTTAGTACAGACGGGGTTTCACCATGTTGGCCAGCCTGGTCTCGATCTCCTGACCTCAAGTGATCCGCCGGCCTCTGCCTCCACCTCCCAAAGTGCTGGGATTACAGGCGCGAGCCACCACAAGCAGCCTGAATGATTATTTTTATAAAGATAGAATCTTACTGTGTTGCCCAGGCTGGTCTCAAACTCGTGGGCTACTCAAGTGATACTTTGTCTCAGCCTTCTGACTAGCTGAGAGTATAGGAACAAGCCCCTGTGCTCTTGTATGTTTTCAGTATTCTGTGGTTTTCTATTGTTGGCTTAAAATATATTTTACTTTTTTTAAAGTGCATCCTGCTGTTGACGAGCATTTAAACAGGTATGATTTCACAGATTTTTTTAAAGTGATACGTTAACTAAGTGAATAGAGAGAATAGAAACTAGTATCCGCTTAGTGTTCTAATCTGTACTAGACACCAGATTACCTGCTTCACATGTATCGTCTCATGTCATCTTCACACAGCTTTACAAAGTATTTGTGCTGTTATTGCTTTCTTACTGATTAGGGAACTTTGGTTAAAATAGGTTGAAATTTTGGCTCATGATTCCATAGTTTATAGGTAGCCAACCCATGATTTTACAATCATCCTGCCAGGCTTTTCAGATCACTGCACCTAAGCATAGATGGAAAGAGATGAATGCAGCAATGGGATCGAGGTACTGGTTTAAATTAGACTAATTTCGAAAGTCGCATTTTGTTATATATTAATTCTCTTTATAGTGTTTCTTAGAAGCTTCGCTACTCCAAAAATTTGTCCTAATATGTTTGGAAATTACACTAGTAACCAGTACGTGTTTTTTTTTGTTTAACAATCAATGTTTTGAAGGCAGATATCAGTTATCTGCGGCCAAAGAACTGTAGGTTTTACATAAGCAAGACCATGTCCGTCCAAGAGAGAAATCATTTTAGTGTACATGGAGAATATCTACATATAGTCTATGTTATATTAACTATATTTAGCATATATTGAAAGCATATTTCTATTTCTCCACTTACTGACTACCCAGTTTGGTTTTGTCTTTGAGTACACTGCCTAGTTCGATGAAGCTTTTTCTTGTTTTCCGGAATTATTTTTTTCTTTCTATGAAATTTAAATAATATTTTCTAGATTTCTTTTTACATTCTCTTCTGCATTGCTTAGGGTTTATTACTTTCTATTATTGTTTTCACGTATGGTAGCTAAATATTCCCCATTTTCCTATAGACAAAATCAGAAGGGCACAGAATTTCAGAATTTTAAGAAATCCTGGAGACTAAACAAAATACCCTCTGTTAGTTGAATCTATGTTTAACATCCTGATTAAGTGGTTGTTCAGCTGGAGAATCCGAAACTCTAAGAGATGAAATTATTCAGTTGGATATAGTAAATGTCAGAAATGAGATTTACACCCAGATTTCTTAATTTAAAATGCAGTCTTCTTTTACATCATTTTGTCCATTGAATGTTTTTATAACAGAAAGTGGGAGTGGCTCTAGTGAACACAGTGGAAGAGTATGAGAATGGAATGAGTGTTGAACTCAATGAAAGTGGATAAAAATAGAATTTGCAGGGTGCAGCTAAATTTGAAGAGAAACAAACACTTAAGTAATTGAAAACACATGATGTTGGGATTTATTAAGAAAGACATATTAAAATAGGGCATTCAAGGAGTTCTGAAAAGGCTGCTGCCTTTTGTTTCTTTAACTGGAAGAATTGCCAAACTTTAAAGTATTTTTTGAAAAATGTTAAAAGAATTTGAACCACTGGAAAGAGTCTCTGGAGCAAATATGAATGTGGTATCTTCTTCCACCCAAGCTTACAGAGGGCTTAGAACCCCTCACGAACGAGTGATCTGGAGATTGCTTAAGTACAGATATCTGTGACCCAGGGTGGATATCATTTTTTTTTTTTTTTTTTTTTTTTTTTTTTTTTTTCTTTTTTTTTTTTTTTTTTTGCCTGTTTGTTCAATTCTCTCATGTACCTGTAGGTTAGGTCAAAGGTAGTATTGGTTGGTAAATCGGCAATGAAGCTTCACTTGGGTGGTTGGTAACATCCCTATGTTTGGGGTGTTTGACTGAGACTTAATTACTTTCCAGCAGCAGAGGAATAGAGAACTCCTATCTCAATTACTATAACTTGTCTTTTTAGGAATCTGGGCTTTCCTAGGCTGAAGGTGTAGATTGGATACTGCCATGGATCCCTGCATAAGAGGGATCCAGAAGTGGGAGCCTATTGGAAAGAAGATATTTAGATAGTAATTAATGAAATGGAGCTATAACTATTCAGTCGGGAGACTTTTCCAGCAGTCTGTCTTGGGTGTCTGAGTGTCTGTGAAGATTTTTTATCTTTCTGGTTTTTGTGGACCTGAATAAGGCAGGATTTATATAATAGTAATTGGATTTTATAATTTTTAATGCTTTAATCTTCTGTGAAGGATATTTCCAATAACAACGTAAACCTTTGTATTTTGATTTTTGTTCGCCCAGCTTTCAAACATGTCTAGAGTTTCCGGGGGCTCCGTGTAGTCTTCTAGGGTAAACAGAATTACTGGGCACTATTTACATGCTGAAGATCCACGATTCCCATTTTCTAGTTACACAGATTAGCCTTTGAATCAGAAATAGTTAATGGAGAAGAGACAGTGCATTTTCTACCTTGTTTTAAATTGTCAGGTTTATTCCAGTTCCATAGCAAAAGTTCTGTCAGATATCAATTGGATTTTCAGTTTAGCTTTTAGGGTAGATCATTTGTAAGGGAAAGTATTGCCTGACTGTGCCATTGTATTGCCTGTCAGTATTTGTTATGGGTTTAAGGGTGAGGGTTCATTGGGCATTTCATAGGTAAGGTGGAGGCAGAAATAGGGAACTAAAATGTTTTCTAAAACAGAGGCCGTATCTAAATTATATCAAGAAATATTATTTAATGTACAGGTAACTGACCTTCCTCAGACTTGGTTTTACCATTTTTTGGGAGGGGACATGGATGTATAGACTGCCAGTGTTTGTTTTGTTTTAAGAAATGAACCTGCTCATTTTTGTTGTATCATTTTGCCCTTTAGGTGTCTCCAGAACCCAGATGGTGGTACAAAGCCTGTGCCAGAGGAAAAGTCTGATTCTGGTTCTGTGGTAAAGTACTCACTTGTGAAATTAATTTTCTCACCCTGAATCTCATTTTTTATATTATTATTTTTTAAATCTAGCTGTTGTCTACCCATCATTTTTTTATGTTTGTGTTAAAAACTTTATATTAGAGATAAACATTTCAAAGAAATAGGAAAGGTTAGTTTTTATTTTTTTCTATTTGGCAAAAAAAATAGTCGATAAATACTTTGAGAGTTTGGATCTGTAAGTAATAGGCTTGAAAATATATAGTGACAGAAAAATGATGTTAGAGAATGCTTTCTTGCAAGAGTCAATAGGAATTTTGGCCTAGGCTCATTTGAGTATGTGTCTTTACTTTGAGTTGTACATAATATGAGTATGAATTATAATACTTCTGTTTTTATTGAATCTTTAATAGATCAGATGACTTAGTATAAGAATCATGGAATCACCCTGTTACACATTGCATATAGTTTCTTTTAATTTCTCATACACTTATTTTGATAACATACAGTTTTTTACAGAGAGCTATTTCTTTATTTTTATCTTTGGTTCTATAATTAGACTAAAATAATATCAGAAATTGTGGAAATTTAACTAGACATGGTAACAGGTGCCTGTAGTCACAGCTATTCAAGAGATGATGCTAGGAGAATTGCTTGAGTCCAGGAGCTTAAGACCAAGCTTGGCAATATAGCAAGACCTTATCTCTAATTAAAAAATAAATTGTGGAGGGGATGCAAGATGGCCGAGTAGGAACAGCTCTGGACTGTAGTTCCCAGCAAGAGCACGGAGGGTGAGTGGTTGCCGCATTTCCAGATGGATTTTTATTGTCCACAGACCAGGAGATTCCTGTGCGGAGTAGCTCCACAGTTCTCCAACGTGGCTGTTTCAGCCGCCGCAGCAGGTCTCCACACAGGAAAACACTCACACGAGTTTGGAGTGCCATTTCAGTGGGCGACCGGAGCACCTGGGAGACAGAGTTGCCCGTTCAACTGATAAAAAGGGGACCAAAATAGGGAGCTAGGCTGGGAGATTCCTGGGTTAAAAAAAGAAACTTGAGTCTCTAGCGCCGCTGTTTCAGCTGGTGCAGTGGGTCTCCACACAAAATCTCACACAAATCCAGGCACCTTTCAACAGGCAACTGCAACTCCTGGGAGACAGAGTTGCCCATTCAACTGATAAAAAGGGGACTGAAACAGGGAGCCAGGCCAGGAGATTCCTGGGCGGAAAAGTGCCTCCAGCGTGGCTGTTTCAGCTGGTGCAGCAGGTTTCTGCACAAAATCTCACACAAATCCGGGCACCTTTCAACTGGCAACTGGAACACCTGGGAGACAGAGTCACCCATTCAACTGAAAAAAAAGGGGTCTGAGGCAGGGAGCCATGTGATCAGGCATGGCTGGTCCTATCCCTACAAAGACCAGCAATCTGAAATGCTCTGGATTTAGTTTCAAAGCAAGCACAGCTGAACCCGGGATGGTCCAGCTCTGTGGGGGAGGGGCGTCTGCCATTACCAAGGCAGTCCACCCCTACCGAGGTAGTCCACCATTGCTGAGGCAGTCTGCCATTGCTGAGATAGTCCACAATTACCGAGGCAGCCCATCATTGCTGAAGCAGTCCGCCATTACAGAGAGAGTCTGCCATTACAGAGGTGGGCCACCATTGCCGAGGCAGTTCTAACTACACTCCTATAAATAGGGCTGCAGGGAAGTTCACATGGCAGCTGGGCGGAGCCCACAGTAGCTCAGCAATGACTCTGCTGGCACACTGTGACTAGGCTGGCTCCTCGCTGGGCAGGGCATCCCTTAAAAAAGGCAGCAGCATGACAGAAACTTATAAATAAAGCCCTACCTTCCTGGGACACAGCACCTGGGGAAAAAAAAGGCTGTTATAAGTTCTGCTGCAGTAGACTTAAAACTACCTGCCCAGCAGCTCTGAATGGAACAATGGACCTTACAGCTCAGCACTTGAGCTCCTATAAAGGACAGATGGTCACCTCAAGCAGCTCCCTGACCCCATATATCCAAAGAGTCACCTCATAAAGGAGAGCTCAGACTGACATCTGGCAGATATCCTTCTGGGACAAAGATAGCAGAAGAAGAACCTAGTTGCACCCTTACTGTTCTGCAGCCACTGCAGGTGAGCCCCAGGCAAGCAGGGCCTGGAGTGGACCTACAGCAGTCCTGCAGCAGAGGGGCCTGACTGTTAGAAAGAAAACTAAGAAACAAAAAGAAATAAATTGATCATCAACAAACAGCACGTCCACTTAGAGACCCCATCTGAAAGGTACCAACTACAAAGACCAAAGGTAAATACATCCACAAGATGGGAAGAAACCAGTGCAAAAAGGATGAAAACACCCAAAACCAGAATGCCTCTCCTCCTCCAAGGGATCACAACTCCTCATCAGCAAGGGAACAAGGCTGGATGGAGAATGAGTCTGATGAATTGACAGAAACAGGCTTCAGAAGGTGGGTAATAAGAAACTTCTCTGAGTTAACAGAACATGTTCTAACCCAATGCAAAGAAACTAAGAACCTTGAAAAAACATTTGACTAAATGCTAATGAAAATAAACAGCTTAGAGAGGAATGTAAATGAATTA